TTGAGTCGATATATAGTATGAGCAACAATTTCGTCCGTAATGAAATTGAAATTGTCAATTTAATAGGGCGCCGACAAATTCATCCAACTTGCGTTTGTTACGAGCCTCAGCAAAGAGAGCAAATTACAGTAGGGTGGATTTGGTTTTGTGGAAAAATTCGCGTCGAACCGCGAGAGAAATTTGCGCTGAGCCGTGAGCGTAGTATGTCATCTGTAATTTAGCGCATGGTGGTGTTACATTTGTTATGCTAGAAAATTTCAAGTGGAACCGTGAGCGAAGTGAATCACCTGTAAATGATCATAGGGCGGATTTTATTTTGTGTTTGTTGCATTCGCGTCAAACCGCTAGGTTCGTTAAGCCGGCCACCCGTAATTTATCGCAGAGCAGGCTAATTACAAAAGGACTTTACAACTTTCCTTACATATACAATTTTATTAAGAAGACTTATACATGTGATTGAGGTGTAGCAAAATACTTCAACGTAACTTTTGAATCTGAATAGGAACCTCTGAATAGGAACCTCCTAGTAGGCGTACAATTTACACCTGGCATTAGAAAACTCCAGGTTGTCCTGGTATTTCTGAGGCTCTCTTTGAGCGAATCAGTGAGAGTTTTGTCCACAGTCCCAAGAAATCAACGTATCGTGCAACGCGAGAGCTTGGGATTCCTCAAACTATCGCCTGGAAAGTGTTACGAAATCGATTGCACCTGCAGTCACACAAATTGACATTGCTACACGCTCTCGTAGACACAGATAAGAAGACACTTGAATCATTATGTGCAGATAAGATATGTTATATCGGATTGGGGAAGACGAGACATGGTTATGAGTGAACAGCAAAACCAGTACGTGGAACACATTTGTGAATGTTTTTTTATTCTTTTTTTTTTAAGTAAAACAAAGGGACCGTTCTTTTTTCGAGAGAAAACCATAAACGGTATTGTGTATCTGGATATGCTCGAAAATGTTCTGTTCCCACGGTTACATGCAGACGATCCAGATGGGAACATTTACTTCCAGCAAGACGGAGCAGCGCCTCACTATACCTGAGGGAATTACGAGATGGTCACCAATCACACGATTCACTTTAAAAGTCGTTGGATTGGTCGAGGGGGGCCAATTGCATGGCTGCCCCATTTTCTAGACCTCGCTTTTTTCCTTTGGAGTTTCATTAAAGACAGGGTGTATGTCTCACCATTACCGGATAATATTCTTCTATTGACGCGTACCATCGGATTATTTACATAGCTATTGAGTGACTGTGTTTCAACTTCAAATCAAAGAAGCCATTCATTATACGAGACCTAGGATTTTTTATAGATTGTCCCTTTCAATCATCCGGATCAATAATTTTGGATTAGTTTGGTGGGCCAATCAATACTTCTGGATTGGACGGCCAGGGAACACTACCATTAGTTTCCTGTATAAAAGGTAACCATATTTTGCATTCAAAATTGTGACAAACTGATTCCTTTAAGGGCAAACTTGCTCGATGTGTCCTAGCCATATTGTCATATGATATCACTTATTAGTACAACCCTGGCAAGCAAAACGTGGTCTCCGATACGTGATCCAAGCAAGCCACCGAAGACACACGAGCAGGATGTCTCCTGCGCACGGTAACAGTCGCCGTACCTCTCCAACGAGGCCCGTAGCCAGAATGAAGTAGCAGGAGTGGCCGGTATTTTTCTAGGGGGGGCTTGAGAAGTTTTTACCAAAGACCTGTAATTTTTGTAAAAGAACCATCAACCGTAATTTCCAGTGGGGACAAGACCATGTTCTAGGTGGGGGTCAGCTCCACCTGGCCACCCCCTGGTTACGGGCCTGTGTCCAACCTGCAAAGGATCTACGCAAAGGACAATTGGCTGACCCTGAGATCAAGAAAATAATCGATCGCTTCGAAACTCCCAACGCAAAATCGAAAACATCATCTGAATAGGGACCGGGACGTTCTCTTATTCAGAAGGGGGATGTTGTTACGGGCCTAATTTTCCCTAACACCAAACAACCCAACATACACCCCTAAAATGCTTAAGTTAAGTCACACGCGCGTCGTAAAGACACTTTAAAACCAATTTAACGTCAACTCTATAGGGGCCACATTCCTTCGCACACGTGACCGCCAACTCTACGCCGTCGGATAACCGTTCTCAAAAAGGCTTCGCTCACTCTTTCAATTAAATTTAATTTAAATAACAAAAATTTTCGATCTTAGAGATAGAAAGATTTTATTTAATTAATCTTTTTGTATCGAGCTATAAAATGAAATAAGGCAACTCATTATAGTTACGTCACCGGGGAATCTCCTCCGTCACGGATACGACCTTGCACCACAAACAAGGTCACTCAGTAGTATTGTCACCGAGAATTCCCCTCCACCAAGGGCACGATCTTTGCACCAAAAAGAGTCGTGGGGGCGGTGCAGGCTCAGGTTTTTTAAATCTTAAGTACCAAATCTTATGATTCAAAATTCTGTAACGCCACACATACAATGATTGTGGTTACAATAATTTAAAAGTATATTGTGTTACAATTACTTGCGAGCTCTAACGATTGCATTTTATGTTTCATATTTTGAGGCGATCGTTATGCAATTCAGTGCATTTGGGTATCGAATTTTAAATTTAGACGTCAACAATAGCAAGCTTAGGTTCTAAGGTTCTGATGGCACGGTCGATTCGATAGAAACAGCATTGTATTATGTTCTGCCTCATTTTATTTCGTACTCCGCGTCGCATTTGAAATAAGAATGGCAGATGTCATTAGAATGCACAATCGTTCGTTTCAATTCACTCCTTTCTTAGTAAATTACAATTAAAGCTAGAGACGGAAAAAGATGGACAAGAAAGGAGAACCGCCCCTTGAAACTTCACAAAGCTGCAAAACTTGTAAAAATGGGAGACTGTAGGTACAAACTTTACAAACTGCGGAATTTTACTGTAGGAGCTGATCCTGAAACGTACCTACTGAACAGCTTCAACCAAACTGACCCATTTTGTTTTGACACATGTATTAATTATATTGTGTAATATAGAAGTGGCGGAAGTTACCACTTAGGTGAAAAGACTAACTATAACCATAGAGGAAAAGTGTATTTCCTCTGTGCTTCCATAATTTGGTCTTATAATGAGAAGTAAATATTAGACAGCGTTTCTAGAAGTGCATTCAATTCTCTAGTGTTCAACGTGCACGATTAGCCTCTTCCAGTCTTCCCATCAGTGATAAATTCTCATATCCTTTTGGAGATAATTTTTTCCGCTGGGGGACGCTTTGAAGTTCAAAGAACGGTAGCGCCAGCCATTAAAACGCATAAACTACTAATTCCTCCAGACGTGTTTGTTTACATTGAACTTAGCTCGTAAAATTTGTAACCGTTAAATTAGTGACGTTCCCCCCCGCTGCTAACTTAAAAATAAGGAGAAAAGTGTCCACTTAATTACCGTATACCTGCCGGCGAAATGTTGGCCGGGAATATTGTGACAAGTTTACGTACATTTGAAATATCTCTCTGGATACGAGCGTAAATATTAGCGCCACAAGTAATTGTTTATTCAGAGATCCCATCTGGTTCTGTTTAAAATCGGATGTGAGAAAGGCAGCCCTTTTCTGACAACGCCTCATGTAAATAAGTGTCACTCATATAAATTACTTACTTAGTATCTAATGTATCTTTTCGGTTTAGTTCCATTTTGCTGCTAATTTAATTTGCCGTTCTCATTCTTTCAAAAATGTTTCAATTGAAAAAGTGTGGGCATTTAAAGCGCAACTGTACTCCTATTTAATACAGAATATATAAATACTAAAAAGCCAAAATAAAAAATTTTATGTTTGGCTTTTTTTACTATTCGAATTATGTTTGTTTTATTGCCGCAAATCAACAACAAAAAGAACTGTAGGAACATACTAAATACCGAAAATACAAAACTTCCTTGTTTCTGTAAAATAGGTAACAATCTGGCCTCGAATCATTTAAGATATTCAAATTGAAAGCCCCACGCTTCAATTCTCTGACTTAGGATGGTTACGGATTCCACGTGCGAAGTTGAGTCTTTGTAGCGTGTCGATTTAACTGACGTGGGTCGATTCAATTTTACCTGTTGCGCACGAAAACTCATAGAAATCGCCCGCATATAACAGCCATTTGCTCTTACGAACTTTACTCTTTTCTTGCGTAAAATTCTCGCAAGCCAAAAGGACGTATCTCTCCGCTCGATAGGTAAACGCAGAATACCGCTCATCCCTACTTTTTCCAATTTGATAAAACCACCCACAAAATGGCGCTCATTAGTTTACGCGGCCATCTTTAACCATTAGCTAACTTGTTGGTAAATGTTCCTCAAAGGTAGCCATCTTGAATTTTGTTTTGACCTCAATTCTAAATTAGGCGTACCAAAGACAGTAACTTTTATATAAAATTTTTTTTAATATCTCTTATACTTTCGATGATATAAGACATTAAAGGAAATGACCAATTTTAGTTTTTTTGAATTTACGTCGAACCTATTCGACATTTTGAATTTCTACAAGGAAATTTTAAGTAAGCATCTAAAACTGCAAAACATTGTCCATTTAACCAATTCTCTATCTTTAATAATAAGAAAGTTACCCATGCAATCCCACCCGATCTGGGACACACTGTATATGTATTCTTTTTGCCGTAATTGAAATTTTAATTCTTCGATCTTTCAACGCCTTCTTTTCAATTCTCTTTAGATATTGTTTTCTGTAGTCTTGTCTCTAGAGGCAAGAGGAGACTTATAAATGGTGAAGCTGTTTAACAGTTGAAAATTAGTGTCTTTCGTCATTGTTTTCATGGCTAGCTAAATTACATAAAAATGTGCCCTCTTACATCTATTGTGTACCCAGTAATTGGTAAATGAAATAGTACGAGTACTATGAGATCATCGTTTCATGTTTTTCAATAGTCTGAATTCTTCGGTTTTTTTGTGTATTTTGGTGCCCGTATTGGCAAATTTACTCATCATTCCGTTTGTTTCAGATATCATTGGTAGAAATAGCATCGGATGCCAACGTAAAAAACAACACATTGCAAGAGATACAGACGTACTGCTCGTCACAACTGGTAAGTCACTTTTCCCGCGTCCCCGAAATGTTTAAAAAAAACAATCCAAAACAACTTCAATTGTTTCAACTGCAGCCTCGGCGATAAAATGCCACATGCCGGTTACTAATAACGGCCGAGAGCGGCGAAAAAAAATGTCGAGAGTTTTATCTGTTGGCTATCGTATCCATTTTATCTACGGCAATAAATAACTATAAAGAAATGTACAGGTAGGTTGGTACCGAAAACTACCTACATCCAAATGAATAACATCTTACTAGAAATAAACACTTGAAAATGTCGACTGGCTCGAATATTGAATAGGAGCTCAGATGTCCTGCGTTCAATGGCTTGCTGGTTACGATCAATCAAACACTTTGCTCGGTGACAGGCGACATAAAACATGTGAAATGTTGTTCAAGATGGCTTTATTGGAATCCTGTTACACATACCGGGTTTTTTACAAGCATAATATATTTTTTGAATATTTCATAAATAAAATTTTATAGCTCCGAGGGTGTCGCCCTAGGTAAGATTAACGGTTCAGGTAATTATTTCATTAACTAGTCCACTGTCCCCTTCATCTACATTTATTCTATTTACGTTAATTATAGCTAACACTTAAACATGTAGAACATTCAGTCACACCTTGGGAGACAGCTTTAATTTGCTGCCTTGCTTGCTAGTTTCGTGTAGTACGTCTATTTTTTTTGTTAGCTTATTTTGTCATTAAATTCGAATCTGGTTGTATAGAAGAAGTATCTTAATGCATGCCCGTAGGTAATGCGGATGTTGAGCGCATATATCTTCCATATGCCTCATAAATTGCGTTAAAACAACACACTACGTCAACTACTTAAAATTCAAATTGAAAAAGAGCGAAATATTATGTTGGTGAACACAACAATTTCTACTCTCTCAATGTCTTTGTCTCATCAGAAATACCATCATACTTAATCTGGAGAAACTCGCAGTGGAGGTTTGCGTAAACGTGAGCTCTTTGTGGAGTGTTTTGCAGCGGTGTAGCAGTAGCATTGCCGGTTCTCGGTGGAAAGTCTTGCCAGTGGTATGGCATTCAGGCGAGGGGTTGCACCTTCCATCCGTGGAGGGAGTCGAACCCCTTGTGAGCTCCCAGAAACTGCTCCTAGAAAGTACATATTGTTGCAGAAGTTGTTCTATAGTCTATATGATGATGTCTATTATTATCATGTCCAAATTCCAGATTTAGGTAGGTGCACCCCCAGTTGCACCAGGATTTGATCGACATGTTTCTTGAACCGTTTGCCGAAGAAATCAATTTGGTCACCCAGGTACGAAATGATGTACCATGGACCCACTTGTCCATTCGCGGGTTACCCGAGAGAAAATAAACTGCTTGTGCTGGATAAAACAAGCCAAATGACGATTCAAAATTTGCTCGTTGTTTTTCAGTGATTTTTGTGTACAGATTATTTGAGTAGGCCAAGGAGAGTTCGCAGTGATCGTTCCAGAAAGAGTTGTGCAGGAGACTGTCCACTGGTACAGCGTTTGATGCAGAGAACGGGAAGCGATTTTTCAGGATCCATGATCTGCCAGAGATGGTTTATTGTCAGTATACAGTGTGAAATGACGTGCATATAAATAGACAAAAAATGGTTGTACCGCCCATACTATGGCCAGTGTCTTGGCGATTTGAGGATACCTACTGTAATGTTCCTAGGGGTCTATCAAGCCGAAAACTGTGACTTACTCTATACTTACCGTTGGCAACTCTGGCATGAAACTACAAGCAGAGCAGAGCAAGTCGAAACGATGGACGTTTCGCGGCACTTTTGAATTTGGATGGCAGTCGGCTCGATACGGGTGGCACGAATGGACTCCTACGTTGTGTAATCGGTTCTTTTATGAGTTTGGACGTGAGACATAACCGGGAAGGGAATTAAATAAAAGACAGAACTTTTGTGCGTAAGAAACGACATGAACAAATAAATATATTACGCACACAGCAAGACCATGCCCGGGAAACCTTCTACGGGACTAAAACCATACGCATAGGCCACACAACACAAATACATGAAATAAATCACCTACAGCAATAAAATGAAAGAGAAAATACACATAAATAAAACATCTCAAATTGTATGATGAAAATCAGATAATCAAATCAAATGCAATTAAACAAATTCATAAAAACAAAATACACAAGACATCATAATTGCAGTGGAAAACATGATAAATCACTTCAGTACAAAAACACATCAAAATACCTGTACGAACAAGTGAGATAACACAACTCGTAAAATAATAATTTGCGTGTACATAGGAAACATCAAAATGGTGTGGCTCTACTCCAACCTTCATTAACATAATTTAACACGAAAAATACATGCGAGAATGCCATTGGCCAATAGCAGGTATTCAAGTGAAAATCGATTATCGCTCAAGCAGAACATATTTTAAATAGAGGAAATGTTAATGAGAGGGCCCCCACTCGTATTGCTAAGATGTTAAGAACTACAATCCGCACGAGACGAGTAGGCAACAGATACAGCGAAAGGTCGAACTGTATTAGGTACCTACACCACGGAGACAGAATGAACCACTCGCACACACAAACATCGAAACATCAAATAAGAGAGCCCCCCTTCGTATAGCTAACGCAAAAGAACTGCAGCGCGCCACGAATAAGAAACAGATACAGTGAACAATCAAACTTATAGGTACTTCCCTCACGGAATAGTTACGGATCAATCGAACAGAGCAACATCGCACTGATAATCAACTCCTCGTGAATACAGCAATAAATACTTAATTAAACAAAATAATGGCATAATCACCTGTACAGTATAACAAACAAACAAACTTGAGTCATCTAATGGTACTCGAAAACAAAGGCATGGAGTACGCCATGATTCAGATATCGTAGTTTATGCAAAATCAGCAAAATGTAAATAATATCAAATAGTGGCAAGAAATTCAATCATTAAATAGCTAGTACAAGAAAGAATAAAATGGTTACTACCTAATTATACCTTCAAAACACCACCACCAAAATAATCAAGAATAAAAAAACCCGGAACGCGTGATGCCTTCCGTCGACCTCGTCGCCATCTTCTTCTCATTCTCCCCTAGCTTCGTTACGAAAATCCCCTAGTATTCGGCATCTATGCAAAACGGTCGTTGGTTATATACAGAGCATATTATATTTTTGTTTCAGATGTAAACGTGTGTTGCCTAACCATCAGGGTGGATTATCACACTACCTTTGCTCGATAAGGCTCATGGTTCGGCTTGCATAAGTGATTGGGTGTTCTCGCCCGTCCCCGACCCGGTGATTTTATTATAGGACAGGTTTCTCGAAAAATTTGGTTGGTTTATTATTTTTTGAAGTCGATGGTTTCTCAATGATTTGACCGCTCTTTGTTTTTTAACTTAATGTTTACCGGATGCGTTATAGGATATTTAACTGCTTCGGAAAGTAGTGGGCGCCCGTCTGTCGGGAGATAATGCGAGATTTATGGCTTTTACGTTAGGAATTTTAAACCCCAGCCCCCAGTAATTAGCACCATTTTGAAGGCGTATGTTTTAAAAATTGAGAAAGTAGGGACGAAGTAGAGAGAAATTTTTCGTCATCAATACGCGGGTAGCTGCGGTAAATTTTGTGAGCACTATCACAGTCACAGATTTATTATACGGGAACGGTGAAGAATTTCGGTTGAGTCCGCTAAATGTCGCAGTAATATAATATCAGGAAGGGCAAATGGCTTTAAGCACTGCGTAGGGCGACAACCGGAAATCGTGCGGGCGAAACATTAATGGCGGTGTGCACATTTCGAATTAAAAGGTGCAAATGCCAGTAAAGGACCGTAGCAAGGTAAATCAATCAATACGGGTAACGCGCGACTTTAGAGTGGTTGGTAATTAAATGAATAAATCAGTTAAATAAAAAAGTCTACGGAGAGAAAATTACAAATTATCATATTGTGTGTATAATATATACATTATCTTTTATTTCGAACACAACTCAAAATTCCGTTCTTACAAAATCTGTATCCACGTTAAAGAATTTAAAAAAAAATGTCAGCAAAATTTAGAAAGAGCCAAACAAGTTGTGTACTTGGATTCCAAAATACTATGAGACTTTGTGCTATGACTCAATCCATCAGAAAGTTAGGTTCGGAGCCATCCTCAAACGTAATTATAATTATTGGATTGGAAAACTCAAGTCCAAAAATTCCCAACAAAAATCACAACAAATCAAAATATATCAAGTTCCAAAAAGCAAAAGAGATGCGTGACATTTACAAACACTCTCCATAAAAATTCATAAAAAGTGAGGAAAATGCAAGTAAATAAACGAAAAATTTTCGAAAATTGCAAAAATCTAAACAATTTGATAAAGGTTTAAAAAGATCGCACAAAAAATTGAAGAGAACTGAAGATTTAAAAAATTCCGTAAAATTGATCAATGTCCCCAAGAGGGCGTTCACCTCAATGGGGTTGCAAAAAGTACCTACAACCTCGACGGAATTTGGCATCTGGGAATCTTTGAACAAAAAATAAAGGAACCAAACTGAGTTTTCGAAAAATAAAAATAAAACTCAAAACCTTTTCCAAAAGGTCATATGGAAAATTTAGTGAAGTACAACATTGAGGAGCAATGGTATTATTTCGGCACATCAGCCATATTGCTCTAGTTAGAGAAATACGGACAATTTCCCTACGTATTCTTTTAAATGGACTACATTAAAAGGATTTAGGTAACTTAGTTAACGTGTATTAACAAATTACAGTTAAAAGTATGATATACCACCTACAATATTATCAATAAATACTAATAAAATTTCACAACGGAAGAACAAATATCTGAAGTGTAGAAACGGAAACCTATCATATTTTATTTGATACGACTTTACTTAATTCTGTGGATTTTTATTTGGGATATATATATGTCGTAGTCTTTTAGTGAAATCCGTCATTTCACGAAACGCCTAGTCCGAGGCCTAGTCATTTAGTGAAACGCTGAAAATTTGTACGTGTGGGGTAATTTCCCTTCCCCTTCTAGATCGATAAGGATACCATTTATCGATTTCCAATGGGAACGGAATCCAATCGCTTGGCCCTGGAAAGTACACTGTGGCACAGTTTCACATAAATGACTAGGCGTTTCGTGAAATGACGGATTTCACTAAAAGACTACGACATATATATTACGACCGAGATAATTTTTATATGTATTGCACAGACGTGAGTCTTCAAGTTTGCGTTGGTTCCGTTTCGGTTTTCAGTAGGTAGATTGCGATTGGCGGAGCACGCGGCGGAGGGTATCGAGTGTGTGCGGGCGCTGACGGAATTTCTGTTCCGTTCCGGTTTTTCTAGGTGGCTATCATAGGAACGGGAAGCAGTTTTGAATTGCACAAATCAGCATACCTTTGTTGCCAATGCAGGCGGCAATCGGAAGTCATCCAATTACCAACGCATAAACGTGAAATATGGCGCACAAATCAGCACAAAGATTTGTTAAGGACTTTTAGGTTCTTGGATTTGGTAGAACAACACGTACCACACATATTGTTTGGGCAAATTTTAAAATTCGCCTACGTAACTCCATTTCCCCTAACGATGAATTGAATGCTAAATAGCTGCAGTAGGGCTTGACTGAACAAATTACACTTAAATATTAACACTCACTAAAAATACTTCAAACTGAGGAAATAAGCAATTAAAGGCATTTATAACTTCTAAAACAGTGTAGCTCTCGTTTTGCATTCAGTTCCAGACGTGGTATTTATCGTTTGTTTTCCTTTTCAGTTTTAACGGCGCGAACCGAAATAGCCGCCCGACCAAAACGGTCAGAATATTATCTTCTCGCGCTGTCTCCGCTTAATTTAGTCGCTTATTATTTTGAAAGATAATAATGACTGCGCTCGGCCTACTTTTTTAACATAAGCTTCAAAGAAGAATCCCACTCGCGTTTGTGTCACGCACAATTTGTCAGTTCGTAACGTGTTGTAAAATTTCAGAGGGAGTTTAAAGTAAAACGACAAAAAGTTACCTGTCGAAATTTATTCGGAGCGTCTGATTGATCGAATCCTTTGATCTTTTGTGTTCATTCTTGCCAACTATTTCGTAATTGTTTTTCTTGCTTTCAGAACTCATTTTGGGAATGCCTAAACGCCACTTTTAAAGGTGAGTACTTGAGGTGCAGACACTTTTTAAGTAAGTAGTAGATATTAGAATGTCATTTAGATATTTTTTATTCGTTCGTTTACTTTTTCTGTATTTATAGGAAATATTTCTATTTTACTGTAGCACACCGCGAGCTCCGTGTTCTCTTGGGATCGACGCTTTCAAACCAAAAAACTGAGTCTTTGATTTGTATATTTAGTAGGTATGCGAACGAATAAAATATTTTACGCAGACAACAAGCTGATACCAGGAAAACCTTTTATGGACCAAAAACCCGACATAACTCACTTAAATAGAAACCGACTACGACACAAAATGTAAAACTATAAAAGTCAAACATCTCAAATCGTACAGTTAAAATTAGATATCGAGCCAAATGCAGTAAATCAACAAGAATTTAACACAAAAGACATGATAAAAACAAGTGAAAACGATAGATCAAATCAAGTACAAAGGCATGGTAAATTACATGTATATAAAAACCACATCAAAATGGCGTGGCTGTACTCCTGCCTCGGCTACTATAATTTAACACCAAAAGTACATTGGAGAATGCTAGTAATGATAAACAGCATTTATTTTAAGAGATAGGAAAAAAATGAACCTAGGTGTCTGGAGCTCAATTTTAAAGAGAAAATCACTGGCGGAAACAGAATTCAACTATCACTAATCGGCATTTCTCGAATTTAGTCGATCTTCTTAATGCCCCATAACTTTATTAATATTAAAGATAATTGATTTTGGCAAAATCTTTCTTAGAGCACATTTTTTTTGTAGGATCCACTGCGATGCACCGTTTTTATACAGGGTGTTTGGTTTTTCTAATACGACCCTAAACTATATTTTTTCATATGGACCACCCTATGTATTTTGGAGCATAAAATTTTCTAAATTTTGATGTATCACTTATTACATTGTATTTTATACATTAAAATATTTTTATTGTAGTGTAGGCATGTAGGATTCCTTGGCGAACAAAAGACAAAATTTGTAATTTGATCAACCTTTGGACTTTGAACGGCGAGCAACCTTTGAACTTTGAACGACGACCAACCTTTGGACTTTGAATTACTACCAACTTTTGGACTTTGAACGGCAAGCAAACGTTGAACGCCAACCAACGTTTGGACTTTGAACGGCCATGTACTTTTGGACTTTTGGCTATCGCATGACATAATTAATATTATTTCAAATGCATCAATGCATTCATCATAAGACCCCATCTGCTCTTCAACAAATCGGTCCTGATGGCCTTTATTTGGTTTTCAATGTCGTAGGGTTGTTATGACCTCTATTTAGTTTTAAAGTCACCGTCTGGAATATCGTACATAGAGTTCAGTTAGAATCCGCCCTATACGGCTACTGCTACTACCATCGGGGTGAGCGGCCATTGATCGATGCTTGAACCACTTTTCAAAACCGCGGAAAGAATTCTTAAACTTCTCCTTGACTTAATTCGCAAGGTCGCCACTAGGAGCTAGCGACTTTTGAGCTTCGCCTTCCCCAATTTCCCAAAGCCATCACCAGGAAGCGACCTTGCAGGGAGTAGCAAAAATGAATAACGTGTAAAGCACATTAACTTTTTAAGGTCATTATTTAAAGGGCAAATATTGAACTCATTTTCCGGGGTGAACGACCAAATTGATTTTCTTTCCACCTGATTCGACCCGAAGGCTCAATCTTCAAATGAGTGCCTATAACTTTTGTCTGAAAAGTGAAAAAACTGACTGATCTTGTTGTTTAACTCATCAAGTACCAAGTATATACACAACAAATTTTGTGGAATTATCTCCATTTTAGTGGTCCGGCCAAAAATTGCAGTGGAATTTTGTTTTTGGAATTTTCAAAAACTAATTTCAGATTCGTGATTTTCATGTTCAAAAACCCCCAGATACGAAATTTCGTCGAAATTAGAATTTTTATTCGCCGCATTTAGGGGTGGGTCCTTTCGTGGTAGGAATTTTGAAAACATTTTTGCAAAATAGGAAAGGGCATACCCGAAAACCTATTCAAAGACGCGCCACCAGTCTTTCTAACTTTTATGGTTGCTGAATACTGAGAAAAAAATTAAAGAACCACTTTCTTGGGGGTGGTTTATTTGGGAAAAGTTTACATACTTATGTGTAACATCCTGGATAGATCTGCTGTCAATGTTTAAATTCAAATTACTTCTTAGGAAAAAGGCGATCAACACGTAGTCATATTAATATCAAGACAGCTTCTGCAGAAAACAACGGAGGTATAATCGTTAAGTGAACATCAAGTAAATGTAATAATTACAATTCGATTGTGTGGAAAACCGGTATGTAATCAAACGTTAAATCAAGGAGTAGTCGAAAATAACAAAAATTTACCTTTGAACTTCGGATCGCAACCTTGTGAGCTCAAAAGAGCGCGTTCGGCAAATCTATAACAGACAACAATACAACAAACAAATAAAAGGGGTAGTGAATCGCGCTGCACATAAAATATTGCAAAATAGCAATACTAAAACTAATTAATATTCAAAAATTCGAATGACTCCACTAGCAAAAAGCAAAATTTTTATGGAACACGGATTGCTCGTACAATATCAAGTTTGAAAGCATAAACTTGACGTTAAATTCAAGAAAAGTATTTTACGATGAACAAATAACTAAATTTCTATTGATGTAATGAATTCAAAAGGTAACCAAGATAATATGAGCAAATTCTTCGGAGTAAAACCAATAAACGTGCCAAAAAACTTGTAGATATCGGCTTCTGATCAAATTTCGGTAACTTCAAAAACTAATTCCCAAAGCAATAGTAGCTAATATTGGTATCACACAAACTAATTAAAAGATATAATGTAACCAAGCTATCAGAAATGAATTCTCGGAGTCACCAAGTTATCGTCAACAGAATCGGATGTCAGTATCGGTAAGGGGCATTTTTTGGTAACGACAAAAACAAAGTACGAAGGGATCGAAAGTATCGGAGCGATTAAAAAGGGCGATTTCGTTATACTTGCAGTTACAGGAACTATCTTGAGATGTTTGAAGGTTCAAGTTTCGTATCGTGCGATTAATTTCACCGGATTTTGTCGGTAAGGTAGAAACTCGTGTGTGGCTTCGTTTTTAGATTGATAAGATAGAGGTGGAGGTAATAATGCAACATACCCATAGAACAACAAACTATAGCTCGTATTGTTAAATGCAAATACAATCCGTAAAAACGTTTCAATGGAACCACCGCAGACATCAAAGAGAACGAGAAACCACTCCAAAGATAAATATGGTAAAGTCAGAACAAAAGTCCTTGTTCAGGTATACGCGAAGTCTGAATGGCGTACCGAGAGACATTTTTATCATTTCTATCAATTGGACGGCCGGAACTACACTGAGGAGTAAGCCATACAATTCGTGGGCAAGAGAAACTTTAAGAAGCACCAGCCAGGAAGGTCCAGCGACAAGACAAAGCGAAGTATCGTATAAGAAATTAGGATAGCCTCTAACGGCAAAACAAAGAACTAAGATAATACTACAGAAATTAACGTACATCTAACCCAGTGCATTAAAAACGAAACGCCTAGATGGCGTAAGGATATTGAATAAGAGCACTAGTGAAATGTTACTCCAATCGGAAAGAAAAGAATGTTACAAACTTAGAGGATGTTTGTCTTAGAGTAAAATTTTCGTTTAGTACCCAGACGTCTATACTGGAAAAGAAAATTGTAATAAATTATTAATAATATAATTAGCTAATAATAATATAAAAAATTGTACTGCGCATGCGCAAAACGCTACTTTCTTATTTGTCGATATATTGGTGCTTTTTTGAGCCGAATCAAAATTCTTTCCCTTTGTTTTTTCCATTTTATAAAATTCCAACGTTACTTTTAACCCTAACTACATTCTTACAACAATCGAGTAAAAAAAACAAAAAATGACAAACGAAATACAATAACAAACGGCATTTGCTAATAAAACGACGGTGATAGGTCCGAGGACCTATCTAGATGATCTTAATAAGCACAGAACAAATGAGCAATAGATATTCCTGCTGCCGATCTTTCGGGCTCGGATACCACGGAACAGCGCTACTAGATGAACTTTTTTTTACTAGAAGTGATAAAATGGAATTAGATTGGAGGTGGTTTCGAGTATATTAATTCATTTACGGGATTGTGACAAAGTTACAAATTCATTGTATACATTGTTTCTATTAAGTATTATGTGCACAGTGCAACTTCTTTGTGGTTTGTTATTAAGGGAATTTTGTCTTAGGTGCCAGACAGACAGACAAGCAAGTAGACAAAATAAGTATTCTTCCCGAAGAGCCAAATTAGAGTTTTGTTTGCTTACCGTATGGGACTGCGTTGCGATTTAGTACAGTCCTGAATAAAACATTACCGGTCTGCTTAAAGATATGCAAGAGTTGTAATCGAATTCAAGGTGGGTAGGTTATAGAAGATAAACTGCACAAAGATCGAACAGGGTAATAAATTTCGATGTGGACATAGCACGATGCAGTTCAAGTAGCCTCGTATCGCACATCTCCGCATTAACTGATCGCCGTTTTACCACACACGAAAGTGGTGTCACATTGTTTCAGCGAGTCGGGTACTTTATCAAATTTATAATCATTACCCATACCATACGGCCGAAACCCCATCATTAAATACTTTCCTAGGTATAGGAGCTAATTAACGAGCGGGTGAAATATTTTGGTGTCGCACTACGTCCTGGGGAATCGCAACAACTAGGACATTCGGATGTAATTTGCATCTATCTTAATGAGACGATAAAGGCACTTTTCTCGCTTCGGTTGGAATGCAGCTCAGAATTTTAATTAAGGTGGTTTTCTCTTTGTGGCTTACGATTTCCATTGTTTACTTTCGCTTACAAAACTCAACAAAAGCTGGAGGTGGGGAACCTTACTACAGCGGGTACTTTTGCCTCACCGGGTCGTAGACCAGCAGCACTGATTTCGTGTCCTAAATCTGAATGTACACCTTGATAAACCCACGCTAGAGTTTAATCAATTTTGTTCATAAAACATCAAAACACGCCTGAGACAAATAAATGCCATCCACGGCGAAGTTTTCACTATTTTCCTGAAGAACTGACACATATTTTAGTCATTAGGTGGATTTTAATAGCCATTATTGAGTTATGATAAAATATGCATGAAAATGCAACAGATGAAACAAGTTACAATGGAATGAGTCCTTTTTCTTCATAACTTATTGTGTTCAATTGTACATTACAATAGGTACAACTGGTAGGTATAAATATAAATATAGCATGACGTTATTTTAACTTAAGGGAATATGTAGATTGGGCAGATATGCTTGATCGAATCTTAAATGAGAAAGAACAATGCGAGTCGTGGTAGTAACAGAAGCACTAAAGTAGTATTCGTGATCATCTCGCCTTTGCAAAATGACAATGCGAACCTTACTCTTTCCACAACGAAAAGTTATGGTATTATCACTTTAATTTGTGTTTGTTGCAGAAATTGCACGTGGGGAATCGTGGTCGGGTCGTGTATGCTGCACGTTACCATTAAGCGAGACGTGCAAGAGGTCGTGTGTGACGGCCACGTCCGAGTACGATCTATATCAGGGATGCCGTCAGAGTGACGAGATTGACTTCTTCAGTTGCATTGACAAGCAGAATCAGGGGGAAAGCTGTTGCTCGCACGCCAGGACGAACGATTGTCGATACGCGTGCAGGGAAATTTTTAAAAATCACCTCACCCCCTCCAAGATACAAAGGAACCAAGTTATCACACAGTGCGAGTATTCTAGTCCAAAAGTTCTAAATTGCATAAAAAATTTTACCAAGGTGACGCCAGCAACGAATCTGCACAAACGTAAGTTACTGACTTGATTATCTTCCATCTTATCTTGTCTTATCTTATCTTTAGAAAACCAAACATATCTTAAGTTAAACGGCTTTATGGCTCAATGGTAGAGCGTTGGGCTATAAATCCGGAGGTCGGGTGTTCGAACCTGGGTTGAGGTGAATTTTTCATCTGTGACAGAGATGGGAATCACCTTAGACCAGTTTCGAGCATTCTGCCGGCTACTCCGAATTAGATTCCCCTACAGTTTTCCTAATTCGTAAGGTAAATACCGGAGTAGTATAGATAGAGCAATAAGACCTTCAGTGCAGGGTCACCTCTAAAAAGCATTATGCGGGTCACTATATAATTGGGCGCAAGCCTGTTGAGGGCCCAGAACAAGGGAGGGATAATAAATAAATAAATAAATAATACTCTCCTACTACAGAATTCGAAAAAGGTATCTGTTTCTTTACGTGGTATTTGTTAGGTAAAGAATAATACTTTGTTTAAGACTTGTTTAATTTGCTTCTACGAAACGCTACTTACATTGTGTATCTAACCACTAGTTCTCAACATTGTTGCCAACTTAACTCTAACTAACTTAAACCTATACAAGGTACTCCAGTATCAACAATTTTGCTGTTATTTTCGCTTGATATTTTTTTTAATTGGGAGAAAAAGTACCTCCTCCGCCATCATACTCTCCTAATGAAATGATGAAGAAGTTCTGAAGTATTAAAACCTGAGACTGACGTGAAAAAGCTCTCTCTGGGTATTATGTGCTCCTGTGATAAACAAGAATATCTCACATAACGGACATGATATGAAGAAAACTACTTCTATATAAAATGATGAGTTATAAGACATGAGGAAAGTATTGATTCTCCTGCAACTTTCTTAAATTATGCTCAAAAATAACTTTTTACGAGTACTGTCTTCATGCAGAAAGTAGAAAAAAGTCTTAAATGAAGAAGCCTTCTCTGCTTCTTATGTTCTCCTGATAAGTGATATATCTCGCTAGCATTGACAGGCGCCCGATTTACTCTCTTTCTAATTCTTTAGGTTAAAAATAAGAATTCTTCCTTGATCATTATACTCCTCTGACACGTACAGTAAAAAAGAAGCACTGACAATAGTTGGATATGGCGAAGAAAAAATATTTTAAATATTACGTACAGAGAAAATGAAAGACGTACCTGGGTATGACGAAGAGCCATGGTTATTCTGAAAATTTCTTAAATTGGGTCATCAATACCTCCTCGCTCGTTCTGTTATCCTAATATCTGAAGCAAAAGAGAAGATTTAGGGAAATTATTTCAACCCCAGTTAAATCATGGAAATATATACATTAACGTAGCAAATTATTGACTATAATTTCTTCTTTCTATAAATTTGCTGTAACAAATACCTCTTGGGTTGTAGTCTCCTTATAACTCATGGAAAGCGAACCTTTTTTTTTTCTAAAATCCAGCTTGTATGAGGAACTATGATTTTCTGATAATTCTTTAAATTAGCCCCTCGTTCGATATACTTTCCTAATCGAAAGAAATTCCTCAAAAGTGTCAAAATTTAATCTGAGACACGTTTTAATGCTAATTCTTTAAATTACATAGCGCACCAAATCCGGTCTGATATGACGGAGACATATTCGCTTACTATGTTCTCCTGAAGAGCGCGTAGGGAACCGATAACAAGAAGGCAGAGAACAGGTAGAGAGCTGGTAGAAGGCGGGTAGACAGCGCGTAAAAAGTGTGGGTAGAGAGCGGATTGTAGCGCACTTAAACCTCATGTGTGAGACATGAGGCTAACTTCACAGTACAATAAAAAAAATTAAACAAATATAGCAAACGAGCTCCTGGGTATGGCTATAGCATGTGCAAAACCAAATTTTAAACCTGATGTTAGTTTTGCTTTTGTATATGTATGAAATTTCATTTAATTGCTTCCACAAATAAGAAAGTTGCCACTGCGCATGCGCAAAAGCAAATTTTGAAACTGGCATTAAATTTGCTTTTATTCCAAGTGGCTATGTGTCAAATTTCATTTAAATACCTTCATAAATAAGAAAGTTTGCAATTCGGTCTGTAAATGGTCGAGATGCGCAAAGGGCACTGTGAATGCTGATCGATTAGGCTCAACCTTTGGAATTGTGTTTCATATGGCTAAAGCTATACGCATATTGAATTTCATGCAATTCGGTTCATAACTAACGTAGATGTTAAAACGGCTTACATTATTTTTTGGGCTACATTGCCAATTTACGAACTCCGATCTACAAATTTGATAAAGAATCCACCTGCAAAATTTCATCGTAATCGGTCCATTCGTTTATGAGTTTTCGTGCTAACGGTCGGACGGATGGACCGATGGACGGACGGACGGACAGACACTGCAAAATTATAAACTCGCTAGGAGCTCGTTAATAATGCATGATAAATAGGTATAAATCACATACAGCAAATCCAGTTTCAAGCCAAGTTGCAAAACAAAAAAAAAAGGTACAGGCAGGTAACAAGGTAGCTGTACAACAGGCGACTCTTCGTTGGCGCAATAAAACCCTTTTATTAAAAGCAACATGGAAAATTACATAGCCCCATCAAACTGACGATACAATATGTGGTAATCAGTGAATCGCAACTCATATATCGAACATACATTCTAAACCGAAGAGTTTTGTGTTAGCAAAATCTGTCCCCTTAGGTGGGTAACATGGCTTCTGGTTGCTGGAGTTCCTAGCCGATAGTTGCGAGTCGGGAGCGGTCCCGGCATTAGGTGCCGTAACCAAATGCGGTTACAGTTATTTACCACCCTGTGAATATCACTTCAAGGCGAAAACTGTTAGTTAACAAACAAGTCCGTACATACATCAAACTTCAAACAATTCGATAATTTCGACATGTTTAAAAGGATGATCAAAAATATTAATCGAGGTTGGGGCCCAGAGCATGTAATCGACATACATAAACAAAAATTTAGCAAATATTATACCAAAAATGAGCGCGATTTCAAACAATAAAAGTTAACGGTATCAAATACGTGATTCTGCATTGAGGTTAAATCAAGTTCATTTCAAAAACAAAGATTGAAACTCACAAAAAATGTAAAATGCTGCATACAAAACACAAATAATTAATAAAGAAATGCAAAGATCAGTACCTGCATTAAATAACAGAAAAATATCAACAAACTTAAACTGCACGACGCTTTAATGACTAAAGTTGATGCCAAGATGCGTTACGTAGCAACCGTTGGTGCTCTCAAGATGGCGCAGACCGCTTTACCCTTTTTACAAATTGCGTGATTGCCAACTCTCAAAAATGTATTAATCATCGTAGGATGATACACAGGGTGGATCCTCTCAAGGGCAGACAACACGTAGAAAGCAGGTAGAAAACACGTAGTGAGTGGGTAGAAAGCAGATAGAGGGCACGTGGATAGAAGGTAGAGAGCTGGTGGACAGCGGATATTGCGTGGGTGGAGAGTGGGTAGGGCGAAGGTAGAAAGCACGTAGAGAGCGGGTAGTGAGTGGATAGAGAGCGGGTAGAGAGCAGTTAGAGAAATGGTAGGAGCATGTAGTGAGCGTGTAGAAAGCGAGTAGAGAGTAGGTATAGAGAGAAGATAGAAAACGGGTAGAGAAGATCAGGTAAAGAGGAGGTAGAGAGCAGGTACAGAGCGGGTAGAGAGACTGTAGAGAACGGGTAGAGAGCAGGAAGAGATGAGGTAGAGATACCTACTCTACCGCCGACCGTCGAGGCGTGCGGACGTGTTTTCGTACGCCGCTCTGAAGTCCTCGTTGAATCGGTACATGAAGGAATGCTGATCTATCGTCATCCCGACTTCTGCGGGCGCCAAAAGGAAGAGGGCCGGGCCAATCTCCACTTCGCCTAAGGGAGAATTAATACGAGCGGGCCTCTACGAGAGCCCGACATCCCCGTCACCGGCCCTCCCGCCTCGTGAAAGCCCAAGGGCTATTTCCTCGCCATCTTTGACGCAACCACCACCGACCGCGACTACCTCCCAGGGGACACACGCAACTCCTGCAGCTTCGGATGCCAGCGCGCGGCGTCTTAACCTTCCCGCCGCGCTACAGGAAGACGCCTCCTTCCTGTCGCGCCTGCTCCTTCTTCATAGGCGCGCACAGGAAGACAAAACCAGGGAGCTCCTCCATTGGGCCATGTCAGGCACCCTATCCGAGCTGCAGGACGCTACCGACCGCCGGCTATCCCTGAGGTTTCCTGCGTCCCAGAGGAGGAAACCCCGAGTCCACCAACGGAAACTCCCGCCACCAAAGGGACTGTCGCACCGTAACCTATGCGAAGGCCCAAGAACTGTACGGAAAAGATCGCTCCCTCATCGAAGCTGCCCGAAGAGGAATTCATCACCCGAAACGGATAGCATTACCAAGACCACCTAGAGGTGCTTTCTAAAGTCATCCTCTATCGGCGCTTCACGCTAAATTCGTGGACAGCTTCGCGAACGGTCGTGTTTCCGAAGGACGGGGACCTGACTGACCCCATAACCATAGGGTCCGCCGCCCAGCGCTCAGCGCTTCCTCCACCGCATCATCGCGAGGGGCATTACTGCGGCGACGGACTTTTATCTTCTCCAGCGCGGCTTCCTACACCCGGAGGGCATCATGGTCAACACCCTCGCACTGGATTCGTACCTGCGAGGTAGAACATGCGGAGAGAAGGCACTAAACGTAGTCTCCCTCGACCTCCGGAAGGCCTTCGATACCGTGGCACACTCCTCCATCATACGTGCGCTATGGCGACATGGGATGAGCGAGCAGGTGGTGGAGTCACTATTGACTCCACCACCTGCTCGCTCATCATAACATAAGTTCACTCTCACCACGGCCACCACCACCATCCAGTGTGGCGCGGCTATCCAGCGAGCCGGTCCGGCCCACTCAAACGTCCAAGGAGCCTTTCAAAGCTTTTGGGGGCTTTTGAAGGTCTTCAAAAACCAAAAAATAGTGGCCAAGAGTCTCCCATAAAATTTAATTTGCAATTAAGAAAGATAAAAAGAGAAGGGATACGTTCAAGTATGATCTTTGGTTCAAGTAAGCTTTGCCGTCTAATCTACTGTACCTATTTACGCTTTTAGCAGTGGGCTTTATAAATTACTGTTTCTTGTAAAAAATGGATTTTAATTAATGTTAATTAATGCATTAAACTTAACTTAAATGGAAAAATTAGGTCTATAAAGTTAGCAGGGAGCATTTCCAGCAACGTGCCCTCATCACCGGTATGCGTACAACGAAAACGCGTCTCTCCTAAAAACAAACACATTTAGAAATGTTGGAAAAGTGGAAGTTTCAGGGATTCTTAAAGAATTTTGGAAATGTTTCAGAAACGTATAGCACATTTTAGAAATGAAAAGAAGTGATATGTTAGAAATTTTTAGAAATGCCTCTTCAATTTTGAAAATGTATGGAAAATTTCCTCTGGCTACCAGGAGGACATAAAGCGCTGTCCTTTCATTTTTACCTACCGTACATTGAACAGATGCAGACTTTTGCGACATAATGTAATACATTATATGCTAATGTGTACGAAATTTCGAAGATCTTGCTCTGGGTCCTCGATATTTATGTCCAAAAACCCTTTAATCTCAGTTTGTAATTTGCAAATGTTTCAGATTAATTTGTTAATATTCTTTGAATTTCCAGAAATCCACTGTTGCGACAAATCCAACAAAAGCAAATGCCGAGAAGCCTGCAAAAATGCGCTCCTGACCACAGTGACCCACCAAGAGGCGATCGATATGTTGGAACTGGGTGGTTGTGGCCTTCCATTACTGCAGGTAAGACTGAGAGTAGTTTGAAGTTAGGAATTAATCGAATGCTTTTAGGATCAATTTTGGCAATGCTTCTTCAAATCGGACGACACGGTAGCTACATCGGTCGAAGTGTCGCGGATAGAAAAAGTAGGAATGGATTCGGCAAAATGGCACTGTTGCCAGAAGGCGACAACAACCCACTGTAAAAGATTGTGTTCGAAAACGTTTAGAAAGGATTGGTCGACGTCTTGGGAACAATTTCATCTGAAATGTTTGAGCCAAGTGACCGAAGAGTCGCTGCGCAACTGCATTGATGAAGGTTTGTGGTGGAATAAATTTCCGGCTGTACACCACGTTTTTATTTTTAGTCGAGGAACCGTGCGAATTGGGATGCGATGGCCTCAGCTTTTGCACGAACTTCAATAATCGGCCGACAGAGCTGTTTCGTTCGTGCACCCCCCAAGCGGACGAAGCGGCTAGGAATGACGTCACGATATGGAATAGCCAAAACGACTTGAGCTTACCGGGACTTAATTTACCGCTCAAAAATATTTCGGAATGTTCGCCCAACACGTGGAAGACTGTCGCGTGTACTCTCCACATCAAACCGTGCTCTAGACATTCACACGCGAATCAGATCTGTCGCGATATTTGTCTAGATATTATTTCGCTTTGCATCGACTGGACGACCGTACCTTTGGAGCACACGCCCGAGTCGATTTGCGATAAGCTGTCGCCAGAACACCCGGACGTCTCCTGCATATCCCTGCAGAATTATTTGCGACCCGCTGATAATGTGTACCAAACGCCGAGCGGGCAAGTTTCGTCGCCGTGCAAAGGGGATCCGTGCGCTACCGATCAGGTCTGCATAGTCAACCGAAATTGTGTGGGAAGCTCTTGTTCGCCATACAAGTGCGTGCCCGGTTGCAAATTGGGGGAGGTGTCCGAGTACATGGTGCCAGACGGCACTTTCGTCAGAATACCCATGCCGAATAATCCGAAGGGATGTCTCCAAATTTGCAAGTGCAACAAGGGACGAATAGAATCGTGCCAACCCCTTCTTTGTGTCCCTCTAAATCCGTGCGTGGTCGGCAATGGAGAGTATAAGGAGCACGGGTCCGTCTACACCAAGGAGTGCAACACCTGCACTTGCTACGCTGAAGAGAACATCTGCACGAAAAAGCAGTGCCAAGCTAATTCGGTTACTGGAAATGATTCCACATTTACGACTTTGCCGTGCAATTATCCTCCACACTATATCCCAGTTTGTGGTAGAAATGGAAATACTTATCCGTCGTCTAGTTTGGCAAAGTATGTTAAATAATTATTCCTTAATTTAACTAGTTATTACAACTATTCAATTTTACGTTCTTTTGTTTTCCAGTATTAACGTCATACCGCTCGGTTTAAATGAAGAGGCTACTTTAATACTAGAGTTTTGAGCATAATGCGAATTTGACTCTTTTCAAATTATTTTTTCAAGTCATTTTTGAACGTATTTTAAGTGAATGAGAGAGGATCGGCTCTTGTGGGCCTCTATATCTTTTCGTATATGTTCCTTGACTCCAGCTTTAGAATTTGGAATATCCAGGTTTCATGTGGTATCTCCCTTGCGGGCCGTGGTATCTGCGGACTCTGGGGTCTCCAAGGCGTTTTTTTCTAAATAAATGCCACGGTTACTCCTGCCGTATACAGGTTTATGGATCTTATTTAGTTGTGCAGTACAGGACCTAATTGCAATGATTGCACCGTATTTGTGGATTGTTCGGTTTTTGAAGCGTTGACATAAATTCGTGGGTGTAAGGCAACCTAATAAACCCGTTCCGGCGTGATGAACCCTGTCAGTAGGGGCCGCCGGTTTCTCAATTTTGATACCCGTTACCGTACCTGTTACCAAAGGAAGAATGTTGGTTAGGATTTCTAAGGTCCACGTTAGTGTTGTGTTATAAGCTGTAGTCATTCGTAAGAGGAATGACGCCCTTACCATTACCTCTGATTCGTATATGGTAGATCTTAGTGCATGTAAATATATGTTATGTGTTACGTATTTATGGACTCTGTCACTCCCTAGTCCGTAGCGGTAATGCATAGCTGGACTCAAATATATTTATTTATTTGTTACTCAGTTGTAAACGTTGATTAACAAGACAAAACGCAAACGGGTAAACGTCATCTTTAAACGCTATTGACTTGTAAAACTGACAGCTGACGTGTAAAAATTTTACAAGTTAGTAATCTAGTAATTTCATTGGCCAGAATTAATGCGAAGTCTCTGTTACATGGATAACATGATATTTTAGACATTTCTTCAAGATCAATTTAAGAACTAATTATTTACGTTTACTATTGTTTACAAATGAGTAACAAATAAAATATTGTACATTATACGCCAGGTAATAGTTTTTACTGGCTCTAGGAGATGACAGGCTCGCCAGTCAATTTCTCCTATCGCCAATAAAAACTCACTTACCTGGCTAATAATGTAAAATACTATTGGTGCTAGGAGACGATTTTATTTGGAGCCTCTTCTTATCGCATAGCATTTGCCTTCGGTATGAACATGTATTCAGTGTTGCTGATGTTACACTTACTAAAGTAATTGCCTGTGCCCATGCCTCGCACACATGCTACACCAACCGCCAACCAGACTCGACCTTTTTGGTTGCAACGCCCGCCAGCACTCATACCTGGTCATCAGCAAATATGATGGCCAGCGTCGATACCACTGCGCGATCGAGACCGCCCATGACACCAAAACCATGTATCCATCATGGCAATCCACAGAATCGGTTCAAGGCACGACCCCTGCGGACAACCACCCAATACTCAAGATAGGTCCCAACACTGGCTTGCAGATTTGGCGTTTATTTTCTAAGGACGGAATTCCACTTCGTTGTTGAGCTCGATTTTCTTTTTTATAACATGTTCCCGCCTGTTAGGCCGGTCCTATATTGGAAGCGGAATTTCTCCCGACCAGACGGCCTGCGCGGGTCTGAAGAAAACAAACACATGACGCACCGTCGCCCCTCCTACATTGAAACCAGTGCACGTTCCGGGGAGGAGAGTCGGGTCTGAACTGGTCTGACAATCAATCAAACAGGTTCGTTTTTTCTTTCAGTTGCATGGAAGCTTTGGTGAAAACTAGCTGCAATGTGGGAGCGCCGAGTCTGGCACGGTCGGTCTCTGGCTTGGCAGCATCGGGGCAATGTAGGAGTAGCCTCAGGCATATTTTACCCATTTGGCTCTAGGCACATGCTATCCATTGAGGGTTATTGGACTGGCCCCACTCTCTGCCCTGTTATTTAAAAAGTAGTTGTAGGCAGACTTGGTTTTGTTTAACTGAATATGTCACTTCTTGATTCACTATATCCATATGGTCCATGTTTGTTAGCTAAAGACCGTGACAGAATTCAGCGAGTACAGAACCGTGCTTACGTTTCGTGTTCGGTATCAGGAAATATGACAGAATTTCGCACACCTTACCTCGTCTTGGTTGGTTGAATATCTTGGAAAGAAGGCGACTGCATGCTTCGTCACTTTTTAGAAAAGTGTAACTCATAAGATACCACCGTACCTGTACGATAAAATCACCTTCCGGACCGATGTACATCATTTAAATCTGAGGCACAGGGGTTTAGCTTCCATTCCTATACACAATTTAGCAATGTTTCAACGCTCTTTTTCAGTTAACATCTGCAAATTTTGTAATAATTCGGTGTATAGACAGTTATTGCCCGTGTCCGAAGATGCCTTTAAACGGAAAATTAAAAAATTATTAATCAGAGAGCGAAATTTAGCATAATTTAACATAATTTTATTATTGTTTTGTTTTTTTGTTTTTGTTTTTCTTTCCTTTGTTGGTAGGTAGTTACTTAGTAGATTTGTGCTTGTTTTCAATCAAAATTGAACTGCTAATTGTTTTATTTCGTAGAATCTATGTGTATAAATATATTCTTTATGTGTCTAGGGGTACAGGGGGAAGAACAGGTAACCTACTGGTTTACCTGACCCTGAACCTATTGGTTATGGTGTAGGAACCATTTTTTTTCCTAATAAAATCCATTATTATTATTATTATTATTATGGTCGGTGTTTCTTGTGAGAACTTAGGTCTAGCCTGGTTAACTAATCGCACGGATTAAAATCAAGTAACGATTAGTGTCTGTGTCTGTGTCTGGTGAAGTTATGTAGGGTTCTAAAGAAAAATAAAAAATAAAAATAAAATAAATAAATTAAAACTTCACACACTCACAGTGGAAATCTAGAGATAGTATGTAATTCATACTTACCAACATAGCTATTGATGGGCACAATAGCCAACGCTATCAGGAAAGAGGAAAACAAAACAAAACAAAAAAATCATTATAATAATTCCTGTAATTTTATTAAATGGAGTTTATTGTGTAAGTGTTTCTTTGGCTTTGCGTTTGGGTTGAATACGAGTGGGTTGTGATAACGTGGTGTGCTTCTGTGAAGAAGGAGTTTTGTATTTTTTAATTGTATTTATGGTGTTTCTTTGTTCCTGAGGTCGTATTTGTGAGGTTGCTTGGGTTTTTGGTGGAGATATTGCAGTATTTTGTGAGCCTGTGGTGCTGTTAAGGTTTTTGCGTTTCGGTTGTATACGAGTGGGTTGTTTCTGAGAAGGAGTATTGTGTTTTTTAACTGTGCTAGGGCGTGTAACTTTATTGGATGGACCTTATTATTATTATTGTCGGTGTTTCTTGTGAGAACTCAGGTCTAGCCTGGTTAACTAATCGCACGGATTAAAATCAAGTAACGATTAGTGTCTGTGTCTGTGTCTGGTGAAGTTATGTAGGGTTCTAAAGAAAAATAAAAATAAAATACACACTCACATTGGAAATCTAGAGATAGTATGTAATTCATACTTACCAACATAGCTATTAATGGCCCCAATAGTCAACGCTATCAGGAAAGAAGAAAACAAAACAAAAATATCATTATAATAATTCCTGTAATTTTATTAAATAGAGTTTATTGTGTAAGTGTTTCTTTGGCTTTGCGTTGGGGTTGAATACGAGTGGGTTGTGATAACGTGGTGTGTTTATGTGAAGAAGGAGTTTTGTGTTTTTTAATTGTATTTATGGTGTTTCTTTGTTCCTGAGGTCCTATTTGTGAGGTTGTTTGGGTTTTTGGTGGAGATATTGCAGTATTTTGTGAGCCTGTGGTGCTGTTAAGGTTTTTGCGCTTCGGTTGTATACGAGTGGGTTGTGACAATGTGGTGTGTTTATGTGAAGAAGGAGTTATGTGTTTTTTAAGTGTGCTAGGGCGTGTAACTTTATTGGGTGGACCTGTTTTTGTAGTGCATGTTGCGTTACTTGTATTTATGGTGTTTCTTTGTTCTTGACGTTGTATTTGTGTGGTTGCTTGGATTTTTGGTGGAGATATTACAGTATGTTGTGGGCGTGTAGTTCTGTTAAGGTTTTCGCGTTTCGGTTGAATACGAGTGGGTTGTGATAACGTGGTGTGTTTATGTGAAGAAGGAGTTTTGTGTTTTTTAACTGTGCTAGGACGTGTAACTTTATTGGGCGGACCTGTCTTTGTAGTGCAAGTTGCGTTACTTGTATTTATGGTGTTTCTTTGTTCTAGAGGTTGTGTTTGTGTTGTTGCTCGCATTATTGGTGGAGACATTACGGTATTTTGTGAGCCTCTAGTGCTGTTAAGGTTGCTGCGTTTGCGTTGAGTACGAGTGGGTTGTGATAACGAGGTGTGTTTCTGAGAGGAAAGAGTATTGTGTTTTTTAGCTGTGCTAGGACGTGTAACTTTATTGGGCGAGGGCGTCTTTGTAGTGCATGTTGCGTTACTTGTATTTATTGCGTTTGTTTGTTCAGGAAGTTGTGTTTGTGTGGTAGGTTGAGTTAAGGGTGGAGATATTACAGTATGTTGTGTGTCATGTTGTGAGTCTAAAGTGCTGTTTAGGCTTTTGCGTTTGGGCTGAATACTAATGGGTTGTGATAATGTGGTTTGCTTCAGAGGTGAATCTCTGAATGTAGTATATGTTGTATCATTTGTTGTACTTGTTTGTTCGGTAAGTTGTATTTGTGTGTTTGTTTGGGTTAGAGGTGGAGATATTACAGTATGTTGTGTACCGTGTTGTGAGCGAGTACTGTTGTTTACATGTATACGTTGTGGATCATATGTGTATGTAGTATATCTTGTGTTATGTTTAGAAATTTACGAACAATATGGCATGTGTTGATAATGACTGCTTTTTGTAAATGTTTGTATGTGTTTTTGTCTAAACCTAATAGTTGTAAATTGTGGTGTATTGTCTTTGGTATAACTCCGGTAGCACTAAGAACAATGGGAACTATAACAGTAGATTTCATTCTCCATTGCGTCTTAAGCTCGATAGCTATATCGGTGTATTTGCGGTGTTTTTCTGCATGTGTTTTAGTTAAGTTGTTAGTGTTGGGTATGGCAATGTCTATAATACAAATGGATTTTTGCGTTTTATCTATAAGTGTAATGTCTGGTCTATTATTGTGGATAGTTTTGTCTGTGAGTAGTGTCCTGTCCCAATATAATTTGTGTGTGTTGTTTTCAAGTATGATCTGTGGCGTGTATTTGTAATATGGTGTCTTATCTGTTATGAGATTGTGTTTAAGTGCTAATTTTTGATGTATGATTTTAGCTACCTGATCGTGTCGATGTTTGTATTCAGTTTGTGCAAGTCGTGTGCAATGCCGATATTATATGTTGGATTGTTTCTGATGTTTGTGAACAGAGTCGACAAGAATCATTTGTCACTGTTTTATCTTTATGTATGTGTTTTTTATAGTTGCGTGTATTAATGACCTGGTCTTGTATTGGTAACATGAAACCCTCAGTCTCCGGGAAGATATCACATTCAGACAACCAAGTGTGCGTTGCTATAGAATCAACACAATCCTGACTAACCTCTTGCGGAAATCGTCCATGTAACGGCTTTTGGTTCCATGTCTGTATGTTATTTGTGATGTATGTAAGTTTGGATGGAGGTGGGAGTATATTAGTTTCGTGTAGGTTAAGTGGTGTGTAAGATTTGTCTGCATATGTTACTGTTTTGTGTAGGACTGAAGTATCTGCTTTGTTATAAAAGTATTGTCGCAAATTGTGTATTTGTGTTTGGTGCAATA